AGACATGTAGGAATCAGGACAGTATTCGAAGAATATATGAAATGTTGTTTTATATATGAAATGGGTTTTCTGCAATTGTTCCGAAGATTGTATAAGAGAGATCAGTATTTTAGGTAATATCCTAAAAGTATTAATACCTCACAAATACTACTGATTTTCCCAAAACACAAAGAACTAACACCAAAAAACCCCAACAACCAATGCCTCTCCCCCAAACAGTTGCACTGAAAAATTCTAATGAATGGCTTCATCTCTCAGGAAGGGAATCTGGCACAATTTGTCAAAGCCCTAAGGACCTTCTCACTACTGTTTTTGCTGTTTGTACTGTAATTGTACAAAGCACAGAGTCAACATTCTACAATGCTAGGTGCTGTAAAGTACATGCAGTACAATATCATTTCTGTCTTGAAGAGCTTACACTATCCTTGCAAACAAGACAAAACAAGTAACTCTGAAAAGGGGAAAGATGCAGAGCAGATGACAGCAAGATGATGATGATGATAAGGCCTACATACACAGATGCAAAGAAAAAAGAAAATTGATGGCTCTAAGCTAGCTCTAAGAATCTCTCCTTTTCATAATCAGATAATTCAGCTTATTTCCAGTTGCCAATTAAGGTTGCCTTCAGTGAGTGGCTTAGTTCTCATGGGCATCCCATCTGTCTTGTTCCTGGCCCTTCCCCCCTGCCCTCCACCCTCAAGGGTATTGAGACTTTTTTAAAGAGCAGGACATTGTTTACTCTACAGATTTATTTCTGTAATGTTGTACAGCAATAAAGGACTGAACAAGCCAAAAGTTTGTCTGATACCAAGGCCTGTGTCTACTGCCAGAAAAAGCCAAGGGGGCGGTATCGTATTTGTCCCTAAGGAAAGAGTTGAACAAATTGTTCCAGCCAACCCAGATAGCAAAAGAAAATGAAGTACTTTCATTGCTAGAAGTTGATACTTCTCACCATGATAACATCTTCCTTCCCAAGGATCCCAAACTATACAGCACTGGCAGTCTTGTTACTAGGAACAAAGCAAATGTTCCTTTCTGTAAAACAGGACTCTACACATTGCAGAGCTGGTATTTTGAATTGCCAGGCACACAACAGATCTAAAAGCAGCATCTGACCCCCAATCCTGTCACACACATCAAAGATGCCTTCTCAGATAAATACTGTTAAACTGTCACACAAGACCCAGCATGGGTGTTCAAGTTAGAGCCAGAAGAAACATCCTTAACAGAAGAAGGGGATCTCAGACATCAGTTTGCAGAGTCCAATGGAAGCAGTGCTACATCTGCAAGCTAAAAGCAAGACGTTTTTCACAATCATGCTCCAGCTGGCAGGTGGTCAGGAGACATTTCACCAGAAACAAAAGAAGTGTTTTGCGACAAGAAAGAAAACAAAACAAAACCCAAAACAACGAAACAAAACAAGTCCATTCCCATGTCTCCTCTTCACTTGTGATTGATGTATCAAACTAACAATTAAGTTACAGAAAAAACAGTTTCCTAACCAAGGTAAGTTACAACTGGCTATTATTTCTGAGCTTTCCAAAGAGTCTTGAATAGAGCAGCACAGGTACCTGCATGCTGGAAGGGAAAGTTTCAGGCAAAGGGCTAGCCTGAAAGAAAAGTAAAACATAGAAAGTGTCTTCATCAATTTTTTTTTTCTGGTTCTTTAAACTGAATTGAACAAAAAGACACACAGACTCCATTTAAGAACCCAGAAAATATAAAGTGGGATGCTATGCACATTCCCTCTGCATGATCAAATGCATTAGCATGGGGGCCCTGTTTTTCTTCAGAATAGGAAAGATCAAGAAAACAGGATGATAAATAATGTATAGGGGGAACATGTTCCTTTAAGATATGTTGGCACAGACATTAGGCTGGAAGAAGCAAAGCAGCATTAGTGTGTAATTACACAGAGGGTTTTCAAGAGTCTGCATTTCATGGAGATTCAAGAGCAGGGCTGAGATTTCTCAGGCTGGTAATGAACAAATACCAGTAGCATTTCAGCATATCTATAAAATCAAGATTAGTCCTAAGAGATATATAATTTTATTTGTTTAACTAAAAGATGTGGATTAATTGGCAGAGGGGTGATTGATCCCTATTCCTGTAAGGGTCAGGAGTGAGCCAGATGAGGGAAGCCTCAAGGTACTCCCAAGATTGAAAGCAGATGTCCACATGACTGGGACAAATGATTACTGGAATTAAGCGGGAGAAAAAACTATACTTGAAGAGTAAAACTATTCTGGAAGGAAAACTGTAGAGATTAAGGTCAGCCCTCTGCAATCAGCAAACACAGTGCTAGACAATGGATAGCAGTGAAATACATACTCCATTTCTTAGAGACAACTGGAAATACTCATTGCCAGCTAAACACTTACTGCTTGATCCACACAGAGCTAGAAGAGCACATAATTTTCAATTCTGAAATTTCACTTGGGTATGCTAAATCCCAACAAATTGACTTATGGTAAAGCGGGGCATTGCAATGCATGATGGAAATACCATCAGGTTGCTCTTCAGCAGTGAATCCAGTGGAGAGGTCCATGGAACACCACTGTATTGAAAAGTATGCCCTCTGAGAGGAGTTTGAAGAATATCCAACACCTGTTCTTGACAGACTAATTTCAATTTCTGAAAAGTTACAGAAATATTTTTTTTGCCCAATAAACACTTAAAAAAAGTTACATGTTTAGGCCTGCCTGATAGCTTTCTAAGCCCTGGGCTTGGTCTCTAATTTTATGTCTGGACATCCTAATACCAAGTCCCTTCATCTCAAATGACTGCAGCATATTTCAAAACATGCACACTCCAATCCTCTCCTTCAGAAAAACATGGATTAAGGAAAACACTGGGAGAGTGCCCACAAACCTTGTAGAATCTCACAAGTTATCTTCAAAGACGCTGAGACTAAAGATCAAGTTTATTTGCTTGGGAGAGAAGTGTAGCCTTCAAAGCACAGCCAGAACAAATGTTGATAGTTGAGTGTATGAAGAGAAATCTTTTGGGCAGCGAGGGCTCACCACCAAGCCCTGGGAGCCAGAACATACGACATTTTCATAATATGAAACTTCGCATTCTACACCCATATTGGCTATCATTTATTCTCCAATTTTTCTCACATTTCAAATCTTCAGACTGTTGTGAATTAATGTTGTAAATATTGGCTTTTCACAATTATTCTGATAAATATATTATATGCTTTCACTATATTCTTTTCTCTTAGCAAGTTACAGGCTTAGATAGGAATTCTGAATGGTAAGGATATGTCTCATCTGGAGAAGGCAAGATAACTCCAACAGGCAAGACAATGGGAGGATCAAGCTGTGGAAAACAGGCTATTATCAGCAGCAGAAAATGGAGAGCAAACTGTTACCAAAAAGCTGGTACCAGGACGTTGGCAAGGTGGAAAGATATGAAGCCCATCTGCTCTCTGAGGACGTATAAGGGGCCTGGACCCTTATCAACAAGTGACCATCTGCAGCAGAAAGGAAACCAAAAACTCCAAAATAATACTGACCAGCTAGAATAACGATAATCAGCAAAAATTACGCTGACCAGCAGAAAATAACATGATCCAAGAAGGTGGAACCAGGGAGGGGACATGCTTGAATATGCATTAACCTCTCACAGCAAAGATGGGATAAAAAGGACACTCCTGAGATACCAGGTGTATTCCTGGTAACCCACCGGGGCACCCGGCCGTTTTAACCCTTTGCTTTATTTCTTTTGTCTCCTAATAGTCTTTTGTTTATATTAAATTCTTTTTATAATTTATTAAGTGAATCTCGTTTTTAAGAAGACCTTGCAAAATTACTAAGCTTGTTTGTGCTTTGGTATGGGGACACAGTTTCATTTGCTAAACTCCAGATATTTTATAAAAGAAAAAAGAGAATTACTAGGTCTATATTACAAAATGAATGAACATGCAGCCTTTTCCTGTCTTTCATGAAATCAGAAACTCCACAAAACACTGTGAACAAAAAACCATTGTAAAAATCATATCTCTGAAAATAAATGGGAAAAACAAGATCTCCAGCAACTAAGTCAATCTGAGGGTTTTCCTCTGTGGTGACTGTTCTGTTTGTGATAACTGTCTTGAATCACTACTTATTCTTTCAAAGGTAGAAGAGGAACAGAAAGTGAGAAGAAAATGGTTATTATTTCAAGCTGAAGAAATACTACAGAGAAGGATTTTGAACAGTTTCACTGTGTAAATGGTCTTCTGCTCACCTTTTCATTTTTGAAGTATATATGATCATAAGTTTTGAAAAGGCACAGAGGCATCAGTTTGAAATTAGTTGCAAACTAAATCTAATCTGAAGATTCCTGAATGACAATTTCAGCTGGGTATTTCAAAGCCACCCTGCCTTCAACTCTGGTAGAGAAATCCTGTCACTGGGTAGAGGTCATTGTAATCCTGCTCTTTATCTTTCTTAAGGTCTTGTTTACTGACTGAACTTCTTTCTGTAGACAGAAAGCACACAGCTTTTCCCTCAAGAATATTTTTGCAAATTAGCAAGAAGAGATAGTACCCACATCCAGTATTTAAGGACTTATGCAGGTTTTAAGAAAAGAAGAGGCATCCTATTAAAGCATTCAACAGGACAACAATCACACAAGGAGACAAACAGTTCCAAGTTATACTCAGAAAAAGGAGGAATGAGTGCTGCTGAAACCAGAAGCAGTCTGTTAAACAGCTCACTTCAGTATTTCTCAAGCAGTTTGGTACTAACAGTCCTGACCAAGACAAGCAGAATTTGGTTTTCCATGTTTTTAAAATCGCTGTTCCACAAAGTGACTGCGTCACACGAATGTATGTAATAGAAAAGGTACTGAATTGTACAAAACCCACATACATTTCCAAAACATGCTCAGGGAGCCCTTGGCTAACCCAGTAAAATCCAGCATTCACAACATAACCAGCATGTGTCCAGTTCCATTCTGCTTCCAAAAGCCCCCTCAGGCTGGCCCTATTAATGGCATCCTGATGTACTTACTATTCAGTGAAGAACCTGGCAATGCCATACTGACTAATATCTTCTCTGTTCTCCAGCAGCTGGCTCACTGCATCCTCCATGTATGTGAGGACATGTCGCTGAGCTGCAAATAAGAGAGAATAAGAGACAGAAATTAGAATATTAGGGACCTGCAAAGCACAGAGCCAGACAAGCCCAGCTGTGTGCCTTACACAAGACAGCAACCATTTGCTTCCTCTATTAGAGAAATGGATAGCAAAATTCATCACCTAAATCCTGCTTTCCTTCCTGGCTATACAGAGTTAGTCATTAACAGTGCTGACTCTTTTTTAGAATCCCCTGAGATTTTGGTATTGAAAGAAGATAAAGAGTTGTGAGGCAGTGCCACTGGAAAATGCTTACTCCAGAGGAGTTCCTGATCTCTGTTCTGAGCCATCTTTCCTACATAGCTTGTCAATGCTGTTTCGATGGGGCTGTTGCAGAGCTTTAGGTGTTTCTTCCCCTTCCCTCTAGACCAAAACCAAGTATCTTTAAGGTTGTTCTGCAAAGGTATCTTCCTGAAGGTGCAAATAAAAGTACATCCATTTCCAAACAAGCATCAATGAATGTGGCAGGTGGGGAACTGAATGCCAAGGGAGATTTATATTGCTCAACAGCCAGTCTCAAATAACTGTCTAGGCCAAACACAGGAGAATTTCAGAAATGGTGGATCTGCCAATACCCCACCACAGAATGACACTCACTCATAAGAATCCTGAGTAAAGACAGTTTGGTGCAACACAAACTGTTCTGCTGCTTCTACAGGGGGCAGACTGTACAAAACAAGTATTTGCCAGGGAGGAAGCAGCACAGATTTACCACTGAGCCCCTTTGATGTTTTTGGCTAGAACCCAAGTAAGAGCAACAAAGAGCCGAGTCTGAGGTGATGTGCCAGCTAGCAAGCAGTAGACTTTCCAAATCTACAAGTTCAACAATCAGAAGACAAGTTACAACGAACCCAGGAAAATCATTCCTAACCTGGAAAGCACACAAACCCTGTTCCCAAACCACACACCTCCATCCTAAACACGTATCCTACTGCACCTTTGCAAGTAGTGTCGTGCTCTAAAAAGAGCAAGAGAAAACCCTTAGGGAATATAGGAAAGGCAAGGGGTGTTCTTGCTCCTTGCCAATCTGCTCCAGACTTGGCAGAATCACCCCCTCACCAGCAACTGGCCAACCTCAGACCCACATCAATATTTTCCAAACCATTTTAATTTGTGTTTAATATCCTGGTAAGCATCAAGCCTGTGCCACTTGATACACAGCATGGAAGGCCCTTTCATCTTAGTGTGAGGCAGGTGGACTTCAGGAGAGGCCCGGAAATTATTATTCCCAGTCGATACAGTGATTAAAAGTATGCATGAATATTGATTGCTATCAGGGGATTTCTCTGCCTAGAACACTTTTCAGGACAATGGTAAAATTGGTTAAGCACACCCTGGAAAATACCTTGCAGCTGATAGCAAAATGGTGAGCCAAAGGTTTAAAGATATTATCTGGCACTAAAAGATATAGGGCGTAGCTTTATTTAATTATTTTAATGCAAAGGAATAAATTTAATTTATGTGAGTGATTAAAGAAAAATAGCTCTGCGCACCTGTGTCCCCTGAGGGAAGAATGAGTCCGTGCAGCTCAGTCATAGGCTCAAGATAGCAACAACTGGGTAACTTTACTTCAGCCCGTCCTTCCTCCCTCCTCCTGATGCAGTCCATCTCACACTCAGCAATAGTCTCCTCAGGTCCCTCTTGAGATGTCAGCAGTACCAGAATATGCCAGGAAATGGTACTAGCAGACAGACTTCCACTCATCTCAGCCTGGAATGAACTTCTGCTCAACTGCAAAACCATTCTCAACAGCTTGTGGGGAAGTATGCACTCCTTTCATAGAACAGTCCCTATCAATGAACTATATTTCTGTTATTTTGCTTCTTTAGAGTAATAAAGCTCCCTTAAAAGTGTTTGGGAATAGACAGGCATGGTCCCACAGTGCTACACAGCACAATGTGGCTGACCTCTATAGTAAAAACCTTTGAATCTGCTCCTGGAGAATAAATTAACTTTCAACATAGAATTTTAGACATTTCAAAATGTACACAAAAATACATAGGTCACAACTGAATACAATTACTTGTAAAAGGGTACTTCTCTTAAGCTTTTTGTTACATAGCCTAAGGATGCTGGCAAAGAACCTCTTTCCCTATTTCCCAGAAGAGTGGGTAGAGGTGTGGGGAAGGGAAGAAAACTGCGAGCAGAGAAGCTACAAGAAAATAGCACTTGAAATCTCCTTGAGAAGTCTCCCTCTTTGTACCTTTGGCTGCTGTGCTCTTTTCCAGGTAGCACAGTTCACACTGCCAAACTAAATTCCAGCTCTGGCTTCCTGTTCACCGACTGCCCAGTTCCATGGAACGATGCAAGTAATATGTTTTATAACCCAACTAATGCTACACTATACAGGAAAGTCATAGAACAAAATGTAATTTGCAGACAGGTTTTAGCAGGCCAGAGAGGCAAAATAAAGTGCCAGGAGTCTGGTTTTAGCAAAAGAGTAGTTCCTTAATTAACACAAATGTTACTTTCCATAACAAACACTGGAACCATACCGGAACATTAACTGTTTATGCAAGCATAGTCAAAAATCTGTAGAGTTCTAGGCAAAATAAATGAGATGATTCATACATTTTAATAGTTTTTTTTTTTAATCCAGGGATAATGAAGGTTGCTCATATTTTTGAGGCCCACTTTGGAATAATAAGGCAGCAAGTCCAAATCAGAATGTAAAGCCCAAATACTCATGCCCCTGTGCTAAAACAGCTTTCCGTCTCTACTAATTTTCTTCCTGACAAAACTCCAGTATGAAGTTTCCATACAGGAGGTGTTACATTAGGACATCATCCTCGGTATTTGTTTGTTTCAGGTTTATTGCAACAGAAGTTCCCTACTCATACAGAACTTTCTGATGCAACCCATATTCTTTAAACTATAACAAAAATTTTCGACTCTGAAATCCCAGGCAACTACCCCAAACAGGAAGCCAGTATGCCTGCCACAGTCATTTGGTAGGTGCCACACTCTTTGCTGTCAGATTTAAAAACTAACAGTCAGCTTTCACAAAAGAATCTGACAGAGTAAGTTTACAGAGGATTTTTCAGGCAGCCCATAACCTGATGCTAAGTAAATACCTTTGCACAGAATATCTTAATTCTTATCACTAAACCACCAACAGTGATGTTATACTTGGAGCCTCAGTCCAATCAGTAGCAGCATGTACAGCTCCTCCAAAGCTGCCTCCTGCTGCACTTAAGAGTACAGCCTCTGATACTAATGTGCTCACATCCCACCATCACTCACATGCCCAATGTTTAAAATGAAATTTGGAATGAATGCACTTTTGGCTCAGAACCAAATTCAAGGCTGAGCAGCGGCTGCTCAATGCAAGCATGGCCAGACTTCAGCTTACAAATACAAGGCATAATGAGGATTCCACCCACAGTCAATCCACAATCTCTATGGATTTCTCTACAACAGATCACAACTAATTCCATTTAGCCATAACCACACCAAATTACTTTGCATATGTATTTAACATAGTAAAAATAGTCTTTTTATAAGTTACCAATGTGAAAAACGAGGTTCACTCACTTAATAAATTATAAAAGGTTTAATATGAACAAAAAGACAATTAGGAGACAAAGATAATAAAGCAAAGGGTTAAAACGGCCGGGCACCCTGGCACATTGCCAGGAGTACACCTGATATCTTTGGAACACTCTTTTTATCCCATCCTGCTGTGGGGTTTTAATGCATATTCATACTTTTCCAAGAAGTATTTTGCATGGCTATGCCCGGAATCCGCCTTTTTAGAGCAAGCATCTTAAAGATTTTATTTCCCTTTATCACATATTTATTTGTATATGGGGTTCCTTCTTCTGCAGGCAGTCAGTGTTGATAGCAGCCTGGGCCTCATCATCTGTTTCCTGGAGGTTATCTTGCTTTATACGAACAGGACCTAGCCCTAATGTCCAAAATTCTTCTTCACCCATGCCTAAGACTTACTAACAGGAGAAAAAGACATAGCAAAAGCATATAACATATAACATTCATCTTAATATTGTGAAAGCAAATATCACAATATGGATTTATACCACCAAGTTACTTGTTTCAATCTTTTGATGAGAACAAACAATCCACCACTTTGTAGGTTTGATTACAAATGTAAGAACAAGCACTGATACTTGAAAAGTCTCGAAGAAAAATTTAATGCAAATAATATCACCGCACAAAATTGAATATATGCACTGAAATACTCAGAGACAGAAATTCAGAAGGAAGGAAGGAAATAGATGTCACCTTTAAGTCATGATACTGTGTATATATAATGGTTTTATTATCCAAGACATGACTTCTTATGACTTCTTCTGAAACAAAAGCTGTCTATCAAAGCAATTTTTAAGCACACAAGAGGGATTTTTTTTTGTTTGGTTTGGTTTTTGTTTTTGTTAAGTTGGGGTCATTTTTGGCATAACTGAATATGCTGAAAAATCAGGAGTGGGAATTCCTGGATAATGAGACCAGCTTTTCTTACTTATTTGCCTCCTTCTCAGCTGAAGTGCTGAAAATACACACTATTGATGCAATTAACATTATGATTCATTTCAGTTATCAGAAGCTCAAGAGCATAACAAGCTTTAATGTATCTGGAGTATTTCTGGCATTTCTTAATTGCTGAGAACATATCCTCTGAGACCATAAGGTAATAGTTAAACACCCTTTCATTATTTGTTCTAAACTGGAGCTTAACTAAGGACACCACCTTATCACACACATTGGAAAGATACATCTGTAGTAACATAAAATCAATTTCATGCAAATATTATCAAAACAATAATGATGCAAGAGAGAAAGAGTGAGGATAAAAACTGCAACAACAAAATCACATCAACTCTGGCAATTTTTCCAGCATTAATGGTTTTTCAGGATGTTCTTCATAATCTTTTCAGATATCATTAAGGACTTAATCTCTTTAGATGTTGCTAAGTAATGGCCAGGGAAAGAGAAGTGAACAAAACAATTAACCTAAATGTCACATCTCTGTACTGTCATAGTTCCTTCCAGCCTTGCATAGCTTCACAGTGTAATTTCCTATTAACCCTCAAAAGGAAAATGTTTTTTGAAGGACAGAATATATAAGTACAAGTAGATCTTGTCATACTACAGGTATTACACAACATGAGGCATGCTGTTACTCAGGAGCACATGCCAAGGGGTCACACAATGTAACTACAGCATATTTCATATGTTTGAAGTTTCAAAATCACTTTCAACAAAAAACTTAAGAAACATTTCCATTTATTATTTAATCTTGACCATAGCTGAGAATTTGTTTCAAACAATCAGCAAAATACTGCACACAGACTGACTTAATTGTGCAACTTCTTCCAGCAATCTGCTTCCTGCAAGGTGTCACACAGCTGCTAGAAACCACCCCCTCACCAAAGCAAATCTTTGAGCTATCTTTTCTTTTTTGTTTGGTTGGGGTTTTTGGAGGTTTTTGTTTAAATCTAAAATTATTAGTTGTGGAAGAAATTGTCATTCCAGTTAGTTATAAGGCATTAAGTATCCTAATGGTTCCCTATCTATTCATGCTCAGAGGGACATAAGCAAAGGACTGTACTCTCCAGTTCTGGAAGTCTACCTAATTCAGGATCAGATTCCACTTGTACATTTCAAGTTAAGGTGGAAATCCTGTGGTGGAAGCAGTATAGTGATGAAACCCCCATCTTTTGAACAAAGTACTAGACTGAGTCTAAGAAGATTCAAATTTAATTAACGTTTCTATAAGCAAACTCTTACACATTATATTCAACTTCTACATTGTAGCACTTCTATTTGTACAACAGAGCAAGAAACAAAATTTTAAAAAGGCATTTTCTTCTATTTTTCTAGACCATGAGATCTTTCAGCCACAGTGCTTCACAGAAGTTCACCAAATATCTATACTAAGAGAAGAATCAAGTGTCAGCTGAAATGTCTGGATAACAATGTGCTTATTATGCTGTTAAAGGAAATTATTTTATTTGCACTTTCCAGATCAGTATTTCTTAAGACTGTTCAGAAGACGAGTAAGCCTTAGGCTTCAGCGTAGTCTCTACACAACTGAAGTTCTCTGTTGGCAGCTCAGTTTTGTAAAAGAATGTATACTCTTTCTAAGCACTGAACCTGAGACCTTTTATGAGAGAGATGAGGAAACACAACCGTCTTTCTGGCACTTGATAGGCCCATGCTATACTGATAAGGCACTTTCCTAGCAGAGTATTTGCGTTCGTATATGCCTTATATTGGCAAAGAAGGACAAGAAACAACATCCTGGAGCTGGGTAGTAGAAGGCAGGAGAATACACAGAAAATAGGAGTTTGGAAATTTGCAGTGCTCTACTGCTTTTTCTCCATAACAGGAAAAGAGAGCAGGGAAGTAATACAATATGAAGCTTCAGAGACAGCTGCATGAGCAGAACAATACACTAAGTGCTCCACTGCCTGCTATAAATAACTGAGCAATCACCAGTTATTAAACCATAATGAGGAAGGCATGAAAAAGTGTCTCAAATGTGCCTCATCCTGCCTACTGTAGTTCCAGTCTCATCCATCAAATGAGAGACACATTATCATCACTATACCCAAACAATAAATGTTGTTTATTTAGTGAAAATACTGTTTATAATGTCCTGCTTGTAATGACATCATCTTCACTGTAGTCTTTCTGCCAATTTTGCAGACCTCATCTCCATTCCTATTCACTAAGTAATGGTCATCTCTTTTCTTCTACTTACTGTCTCATTGCAGCACAAGACATGTTGCCCTGATTTTTATATTCCAGGAACTTTGGCATAACAAAGCTTTGCAACTATTTTTCATCTTAAGTGAATATGTAATTCTCTCCCTGTTCATTTGTATTTTAACTCACAACTGCTTTTATTTCCCTTTTAGCATTCTAACTGGTTGTAGAAGAATTATCTCAAATGGTGGGGGGAAGGGGGTGTGGAGTAACACAGCAAGAAGCACATTATGTTATTCTGGCTGCTCAATTTATACATTGGCCTTGGTTTTGGTTCCTGAGAAAGGGAAGAGGGGAAGAAGGGTTTGGGTGAGTTACCCATTCCAGCTAAGAAATGGCAGGGTCATCTGGTCTGTGAGAATCAGAGAATACCTTAAGCTAGGGCAACACAACTTCAGAATGAAATTACAGAACGTGAAATTTATCACAGTTCCTTCCAACCCCCACTTCAGACAACTGTATTAACAAAACTTTGAAGTGCACAATAGAACACCTAATGTGATTAATGGTGATTTCAGAATGCCAGTATAGAAAACAGAAAAGCAACTTAGAAAAACACGTGGGGAGGTGTGTTTATTTGGGGTGGGAGGAGGGGGATTTAGAGGCTGTTTTGTTTTGGTTTTTAACCACCTTCCTACTGCTAATACACACTAAATTCCTTAGGATCTGTGAGCAGTTTGACAAGTTACAAAGTCTCATGAAGGCAGAAACACTGGTTTTGGTAACATTTATATCTAATAAGAATATGCTTCCCCCCTTCTAATAGCAGAAACTGCAATCTAAACCCAAGGTATACTAAATAATGAATGGAACAGACTATTATACATGTTATTCCTCAACCTAATATGGTCACACTCGTCTTTCTTCTGACCCCGATGTCAGAACAATTTAGAAACTTGTACAAAATCAAAAGAGAATTCCAAATCAGCATGTGGAACAGAGATAAAAGGAGGCTCACTTAAGTGGCTAGTAAAGCTGCTTGTACCTAACAATCCTGTACATCTAAGAAATCTCATGTCTTAGCTTCAGATGTGCAACAGAAAACTGGTTTATTTTCACACTTTAAGTATTTTTAGTCTGCATCCTACATTGTTTTCAGGGATTCAACCCTAACTGACAAGTTTCACTCAATTAAAAGTGCCTATTTCATTAAAAAACAATTACAAGAACCTAAAACCAAGTTGCCTCATTAAGAAAAAGAAATTTTGCAGGTTTCAACCTAGAGCCACTCTGGAAAAGTTATGAACTTCTCTATTAGCATGTAGGTTGAAAATGCTGAGGTAATGTGACAGACTAGCAGAAACCCAAAGGGTGTGTCTATGGCACTGTGGTGCTATTCTCAAACACCCAAAGCTCCACAACTGAAATCAGCAATAAGAACTTCAGTGAGGTAAGTCCCATGAGAGTCACCCTGAATAGAGCAGTAAACAAACCTACTTCTGCCTTGAGTTTCCTTGACGCAGAACAGCATCACAGTTATGCAGGTACGCACAAAGCACCCTAACAGCAGCACAGCAGCAACAGCACAATTCTACTCTAAGACAACTTAGATCACTCCTTTGCTTAAATGGTTAAACAAAACTTTTTTAGTCTAGTGCCCCCTGCAATACAGCTTTTCCATTTACAGCAGTGTTTCTATATTCTTGCTCCATTTTGACTTACAGAAATGGCAAAACCATGATGGAACAAGTACCAGAAAACAATCATTTCTGACCATCCCTTGTACAAGAAAATAATAGAAAATCATGTATACCTTTATAAGGGTTACTACTGAACAGTCTCTTGTGCTTAGGAAGTAATGGCTGAAGAGTTTTACTTCACAAACACTCTCTTGAACACAATCCAAATGCTTACTACTTGTAATTCATCTCCTCTTCAGCAATTAAATAAAGTCATATTGACTTCATTCCATCCTAATTATTTTTATTTGACACATTAACATCAAATCACTTTGCTCCTTACTTTCCTGGAACATCAAGCCGTTAGAGACAGCTTAAGAAGGATGTAGTCTTCAAAGGTAGCTGCTTCACAGGTTGAAGGATTTTCATTTTATGTAGGAAACATTTCCAATGTTACTTAATTTCAGAACAAAAGCTAGCATTCGAACCATCTCGCAACATAAGAGCAGCGCTCCTTCCCATTGCTGGGAAACGAGCATGAAATAGAGATGCTCACACAGATCTGCGAGCAAAACAAGTGGGTAACGCGTGAAGTCTATCACAGAAAGGCCGGACGCCGCTTGTTACTACTCACATCATCAAAGCGGGCAGTGGAGGAGACGGCAGCTCAGATCCCGCCGGCTGCTGGCGGAGACCACACCTCTGGGCACCGGGGCGATGCTCCCTGTGCCCGAGAGGGCTCTGCAGCCCTCCCACCTCAGCGTCCGACAAGCCCGGTCTGTTACGGGCCGCTGCTGCCCGCTCCCCAGCCTGGGCAGACACGGAGCCACTGCGAGCCCCCTCAGCCCGGCCCAGCCTGGGGCCGCTCGCCGCAGTCCTCGGGAAGGACGGGCCGGGCCGCAGCCGCCCCAGCCCCGCCGAGCCCTCCCCATGCCGTGCCGCAGCACACCAGGGACAGAGAATCCTCAGGAAGCCTCCCCGCCCCGCTCCTCACCCAGGTATTCGGGCCCGGGCAGCGAGAGCCGCTCGGGGCTCAGCATCCTCCTCCTGCCGCTCCTTCCCGGCTTCCGCCCGTTTCCAAGGCGCCCGACGCTCCCGGCGCTGCTCGGCCGCTCGCCCCGGCTGGGAACACGCCCCTCGCCGCCACAGTTCCGCGCCCACAGCCGGCCCCGCCGCCCGGCAGCCCCGCCGCCCGTGCCCTTAGGATCTGGGGCAAGGCCGGGAAAGAGCCCGGGGGAAGGGCCTGAGCCCGGAGCCTGCGGACAGCGCCATGAGGAGGGGGCTGCGCGGAGGCCGCGGTGGGCCGTGCCCAGGGCAGCTGCTCCAGGGCTGAGGGACCTGAGAGAGGAGAGCGAGCCAGCAGGCTCTCCCGGAGAGCCGGGTGTAAGGTTATTCTGATTGGATTCCAGTTGTCTAATTTAAGGTGTCTACTGCTAGGGGTTGTCTAGGACTACACCTGTCGGGGAAAGACTGATTTGAAGGTGAATTGTAATAAGTTAAAATCACAGAATATACTGAGTTGGAAGGGACCTGTCAGAATCATTGAGTCCAGCTACTGGCCCTGAGCACGACACCCCAAAAATCGCACCATGAGTGTGAGGGCATTGTTCAGATGCTTCTTGAACTCTGCCAGGCTTGGTGCTCTGACCACTTCTCTGGGTTAATGAAGTTAATGTGTAGCAGCTTTGTCCCAGAGAGCAAGGACTGAAAGTGTGACCACGGAATCCTTTCAAGTTGTGTCCTTGTGTCCATGCTATCCCAGAGCTGGAATTTTTGCATCCCTTGTGCTCAGGGCAGGTAGGTATGGAGGGCCTCAGGAATTGTCCCTTCTGTAGTCTCAAATAGAAATGAGCAGAAAACTCCACAGTCACAGGGCTCTTTCTGTTCTTGTCTGGGAACTTGTCTGGGAATGGCCAGTGTACCAGGGATGTAGGAGAGGCAGAGCTCTTCATGTGGCTGGAAGCAAGCCTGCTGGGCTCCTCTTTCCCAGCAGCTGATGTGGCTAAAATTCCCAAGTTACTTTGCAGTTTCTTTCATCACCATTAAGAAAAAATACCAGTCCAGGATTTAATTCTGGGAGTAAGGGGAAAAAAAAAAGAAAAAAGGGAGTGCAGGTGTTGTCTATGTTTTTAATGACAAATGCAAAAGAATAGAAATTAAATTAATAATTTGTATATGCATATGATCTGCCTTTATTCCACTAGAGGAAAATGCTGAGGCATTGACATTTAATCTGGATTTAAAGGACAGCCATATTTAAAAAGGGCAAACAAGATTCTATAACTTAACTGTTATTATCCCACACAAGATTGCCTGGACCACTCCTCTGTCTTTTGTTCTGTCTTAAAAAGCATATAGCTTCGATATAAATATTTCAAAGATGAGCAGAGAGAATAGTTTAGGGAGTAGACAATGAGATACTCCAGCGTGAAGAATGACTGAAAGAATGTAAGATTGCCTTAAAGAGGATAAGCATAACATATGAAATTATGTTATCTAAAATTATTTGTACTACAATTAAACTCATTCAGAACTTCAGTTTGTTCAGTTCTGAACTTTGTGCATTTTATTATAGGCTATAAATTTAAATATGGGATATTTTTTAGTAATAGATATAATTAGATCACAGAATGCATTGATACAAGATACTTTTGAGCCCAGAAATTCAGCAGAATTTAGAAAGTAAGTGGATTCAAGCAGAATGAGAAAACACAGGATTATATTTTTACACACATAAGCAATGTCATTGGTGTTTAAAAACCTCTTCTGTAGTTCTGGTCAACTGAGCTGGTAGGAGCCTTCCACAGGTTGTGCACTGTTTCCTTATGAGTTTTTAAACCATTTCTGTAAACAAGGATTTAGCCTTGATCAGTATCTGATGCACTGAGGCCTTTAAAGTCCAGTTTTGAATACTACATACTCTGACATATCTCTGGTTTTTCCTTTGGGGTTGTTGGTTCTTTTTTTGTTGTGTTTTTTTACTTTTTCACTTGTTACTCTTTGGTTTCTATAGGTTAGACTTCATTATTTCCTTCAGATCATCTAAGGGAAACCTTTTGAACACTGGTCCCATTGGCGGTTTTAATAACTTCATTTCAGTAGTAATGGTGCCTGACTGTTAAGAATATAAGGAAAATTATACAAAAACAAGATGTCATTTCTGGAGCCATTTATAGACTTCCCTGTTTACTATTATTTCTCTCTTGGCTTGTCAGGGCCCGGATTAGGTGATATAACAGATCAGCAGCACTCATCTGTTCCCTAACTCTCATGACCTCAAAAGAGAGAAATGCTGCCAGCCTTGGCCATAGGTGTTAAGTCTGTTTTACCAGCTTGAGTTTAGAACCCTAGACTAGTGCATTTTAATAAATTGAGAAGGCTTTTCTGGGCCACTGGAAACCATCTGGAGGTTTAATAGCTGCCCCCAGAGGGGCACATCTAACAAGGGCTTAATGTTCTTTTGGACCCAGCTGGAAGAATGATGCTGAAAAAAATTCTTTTTCCCTGTCACAGCCCCTTGGCAGATTATCAGAGGTATAGATCTCACTTCAGGGAAAGCCTATGGAGTACATTTTTACCCTCTACCCTGGGAATCATGGTGATGCTTACATCTCTTAATTAAAATTGCTGCATTCTGTTTACCAGGGACATTTGGGTATCCAAATCAGTCAATTGGAAGATCAATTGGATTACATTGGTACATTCTGTGCACACCCTCTTTTAATGTGATCTTGATTTGATTTGGCTTAATTCACTTCGAAGTGTGGTTTAAGTGGAATTTCAGAAATCATACGTTTAGGGAACTGGGCTTACTTAGTTATGTAAGAGTCCATTTGACCACAAGTTTGAAAATAGTGGTGTAATTTAAATTATGTAATGAAATAAAATATCTTTATTATGTTAAGATTCATGGACTGAAAACCTCTCACCTGTGTGTAAGTTTCGTGTTTCTCAGCAACTTTGCTAAAATCAGATTTCTGTTTTTCTCCAGAAACACATACTTTGCCCCCACTATGTTAATTGCTTAGCTTACTCTCTGCTGATTTTATGTTCATTTTTCCGAATTATACTATCAATGTTGAACTGCAATATTTTCCTTTTATTAGACAAAGTTCTCCTGAGAAACAGCTCCTCTTTCAGATAGAGTATTATATAGAATAATAAACAGGACTAGATATCAAGAAAATATTCTACAGGAAGTGCCTTGTTTTAAACAGACTGAGTTACTTGGCCTGGCTTCTATTACTTTTATTGGAATGAAATGCTTCATTTGCTTAGAGTTTCAACAATTATTACTAAGATGGTTACAATACAGCTTTTTAGGTGTATTTGAGGAAACAAACTTTTATTTTTTTTTTTTTTCCCTTCAAGTCACTAATGGAAATGTGCAAAGAACTAAGCTGTGGGCAGCCTTCAGTATTATTCCATGTGACTGTGAAATCAATGTAAGGCAGCTTCACAGAAACACTGAGAAAATGTCTCTGTCCTTTCTTGTTTATCCTTTGAGCATCCAAAGCTTTATCCTGTTTTAAAGCATAGCTGGCTAAGAATCTGTCCTGTGCAGAGCTTGGCTTTTTTGACTTTGATAGTGTTTTGTGTTCTTCAAGGCTTCCCATGTATTTTCCAGATGAGTTTTTCCTTGTACATAATAATTAATAGAATTGCAGGTGTGCAACAAAAAGACACATGAAAACCAAATTATACTGTGAAGAGAAAAACATTGACTTAAACAACTGTCAATCTTTATTGATAATCTATTATTTTTGGCACATTAGCAGAGGTAAGTTTTGAGGAGAGATCTGAAGAAATGGAGAGTTAGAGTTTCACATGCTATTATTTATGTAAATTATTTGAAATATTGTAAGTGAAATTAGAATTCTATTTTGTAAGTCATTTAAAAAATCAATGGCACTGAAGTTGGATGATTCATTTATGAGTCAGTTGCAAACCCATAAAAACCTCACATTGAATTTTTGGTTTAATAATTATTTATAGGAATGATGACCAAACTCTCTAAAGATGTACTAAAAATAAGATTATCTTATATAAAACGGTCAGCCAAAACCTCAATGAAATTATGTGATGAAATCCATATTTTTATATTGTTGGTTCCTCAAGAGTCATTTACAGAAAAAGATCCACTACTTCTAGTTCTTCTCCTAATCTGAGCCTTCTCAAGCTGAATGAACTGTTTATCTGGTTCACCTACAGCACAGTGGTTTTGCAAGTAAATGAATTATTTTTCCCAAATAATGCAGTATTAATACTTGTTTACCTCTTCAGGTAAAACCTAGACAAGCAGATAGAGCTTACACTGTTCTTCAAGACCTTTAGAGAAATGAGATTCACCAAGTTTCTCTCTCCTAACATCTGCCACAAGAGGAATTTTGGAAACAACTGTGTGTTTTCCAGCTAATGATAGATAACATGATAACAGCAGCAGCTCTCTTAAGTAGCCAGCTTTTCTACCATTACAGAGCTTAACCAGTAATTCTACCTGGAAGTCTTAAGTCAGGAATATACTTAACTAGTAAGATGTCATAAGCATACAGGAAACTGTACTGTGAACACGATGCCATCATAATTTCTATTTTATTTACTAGTTTAACTGCATTTTAATCTGGATTGCTAAAATTTTATTTTCCCTCTTGGACAGAAAGTAAAGAGAAATCTGGTCTGATTTTGAGATGTCTGTATTGTTGATTATTTAGGCCTAAACAATCTCCAAGATCCTTGTATTTTAAATACAAGTTGTTGGGAGGAAAAAAACTCCTTGAAATATTCTTCTACTCCTCAGCCATAAGGAGTACTGTTGAACTTTGCATGATGTGCTTATGAGAAAAGGGAATGTAGTATGACAGATTCTGTGGCTCATTGAGGCCACATGTTCATTTTCAAATCAATAGTAGCTGTAAGTTGTATAATAGATTCCTGGCATGTATTAAATGCACTGTCCAAATTCTGATTTTGAGTTTGGTGTTTAGTAAGCAAAGTTGACTTTTTTGAAAGAGCAAACTGTTGAAAGACTCTCCTCCAGTTTTTGTTCCCATTATCTCATCAGGAAGGAAAGGACATCTTTAAAAGTACTTAAGTACCAAGCGAGTGACCCTTCTCTGTT